GAGGGGGGGGGGCCGGCCGAACCGGGTAACGGCTTAGCGTGGCTTAGTCAGACTCTTTTCCACCAACTGAGACTTTCGAGGTCATAGACTGCCCGACTGCCAGCAGCAGGGCGCTAGTGTCAAACCAAGTCTCTCAGCATGAAGGGCTGTCTTCAGTTGACCGCACGGAAGCGGAATGCATTCGGAACAAGGTGGTTGGTCCCTACATTGACAAGGCATTGTCGCTGCCGCTAGCTTAGACGTTTCGTTGCTTTCGAACCTGGCTCGTGGGGCAAAGTGTGGTTGTAAGAACTTCCAGGCTGGCAGCTGCTGCTGAAGGACTTCAAGCTTGCGAGAATGATTCCCATTGTAAGTACATGAGACTGCAAGACTGCACAGGGAAGGCAATGCGCCTAATCGTCCTTTCTTCAGCCCGCCTTCTGGAGGTGCTTGTCTTCTATATTGTCTGCTTCCTTGCATCGCGAATCCGTGTGTGTTCTCGGAATGAGGTGGGACAAAGCTTTGCGGCTGTGCGACGATGGCTGCTGGCACAAGCAGAAGCGCAGGACTGTGCCCCGAAGATTGCACGGCTACCCACCACTCTATGGACTAGAAAGATTCCTGCTCAGCCGAATGCGAGTGTGGAGCATAACTAGCTCATGGCAGATGGAGGGTTCGGGATTGTAAGGTGATCTGCCTGTGCCATGTTGCCAGGCTGGCAGTGTCATTGTCCTGATTCGGCCCGTGAAGTGGTTTGAGCCTCTGTGTTTTTTGCGATGGCTTTGACAGCAATCGTTGTTTTGTTTCGCATTCGTTGTTTTGGTCGGTGGTCGTGGTGCCACCAGGTTCTTGGAACAACGGCAGGCCGGTGATGATTTCGCAGGCGCCCACCCGAAACCAAGGTGTTTCATTGGCACGCCTGGTCGGATAGCATCGGGGTCTGCAGCCTTTGTCTAAATCCCGGCCGCCTGAATGCGGCCTCGTGTTCTCGTTCCCAACACGTGTCACGGCTGCGCCGTGCCCATTTTGTGTTTGTGCCTGTCCCCTAGGCAAGGCTTGCTGGACCCAATTAGGCACCACAGGCCAGATTCTAGCGGATGTACCCTGTCTCGTGTAGTGAGCTGTTGCACATGCAGACGGAGACTCCGAGACATTCACACAAAGCCCTGGTAAAGGCCACGGTGACACCCCAACCCCTGCAATTAAATGACATGGAAAGATGTTGCACGCACCTTCAGGCCTCCTGCACCAGGTGGTCGAGCGGTGTCGGGAGCTTGGGCTGAGGTTGTCTCTTCGTTGGCTCTTGCTGTCTGCACTACACTGTGACATTTCGCACATGTGTGCCAGCCCCCGGGCTTGCAGCCAACATGAGACAAACCATGAAGTAAGACAGCAGACCCAGTAGCCCGAAGGCCAATGTACTCCTCCGATCTTACAGTCACGTGCTGCTGCACAAAAGCCGCCGAAGTTCTGTGCGGCTTCCGCCGACATTGCTCGTGCGCATGCCGACCTTGCCTGTGCGCACTTGAGCACAAGCTCCCCAGATGGCTGTGCTGAGCAACGCCGGAGCACACTGCGGCGTGAAGGAATGCTCTCGGTTGGATTTTCTTCCCTTCACTTGTAGCTGCTTGACCTGCAAGAGCACACTTCAGAGGCTGCGCAGTCTCGAATGCGCAACACAAGGAACTCTGACAAACCGTGGTCTGAGGCCAGTGCCAAGGAGTGTTTTGCCTGGACCACTTCCGCTTTGAAGCTCATGCGTGCCAGCACCTTACTGTAGTCATGGACGTCGCTGTAAGTGCGCTGAAGCGCTTGCCTCAAAGTAGCACCGTCACGCGCAGGTCCCAACGCCGCTGGCCTCGACAGCAGGGCACCTCTCCCGCAAGCTCTGATCCCTAGAGTTCAGAGCTGCTTGAGTCACCTGGAGAGTGCTTGACAGATGCAGGTGCTCGTCTGCCCCCTGTGCTGCCAGAGCATTCGCATGGAAGTGGGCGAGGATCCAAACCTGACGTGGGAAAGTATCTCGGCCATGTGAGACAGCATGGAAGACACTGACATTACGAAGTTCGGATTCCTGATGCATGTTTCGTGTTGCATTGAAGGACACGTGCAGACCGGCTGCACCAACCCCTCAGGCAGTGCTACAAGAGCAAAGAAGGCCAGTCACAGTGGATGCGAGTCATGTCCCTTGCCCCCTGCTCTGCCCTGCAGGCAAGATGTCCGGTTGCCGGATGTAGAGAGATTCTCGGCGCCAGCAACAGCGTGCCTTGGTGTCACCTGCTTCGACGGCATGAAGCATACAGCATCTGCCTGCAGATTTTGCTGCCAGGTAGTTTGTGGACGCTGCCACCAGAAGGTTTGTTTGAAGCACCGCTTTGAGGAGGACGTCGCAGTACATAGATTGGCAAGGGTGGATGCGGAAATAAGTGCATGCAAACCAGTGTCGGCAAAGGAACACGCGTGCTCCGGGGCAACGGTATCCAAGACGATACCGACGCGGGCTTCGAAGCCACCACCGGCACCGGCTTCTGGCTGGCAGTGCAGTCGATGTACACTGGTGAACCTTGCGAGTCGCTTGCTAGAATTAGAACAGATGAGAGGGGGTTGCCGATGAGCTGCTGAAGTGGGACTTGCAGCAGCAGAGCTTTTCATGTTGTTTAGGTGCCACGGAGTGCGCCGCTTGTGGAGCGTACCATGGAAGCAAAGCTGATGGGACCATAAGGACAAAACCATACAGAGCCAGGTGTTCACGTATCATGTTTCATGTTCGCAAAGGTCGCCTACTCGCAGCGTGCCTTCAACAGCGAGAGGAGCGGGGTGGAGATGCAGTCGTCGGAGGCCTAGTTGCCAGTCTGGTGCTCCGAAGGCAGATGCAAGAGTTTCCGGGCAGAGCAACCGATTGCACACTCGCACAACAATTGCAACGGACTGCTTGGATGCCGCTTCGACGGCAGCAATTGACCGACAACCGCGTACTAAGTTACTATCGGTTTAAAATGGTTCGAACCAAGTTTTGGCCTTGGATCTTCAGATGATTTCCGACAGGCAGATTCCGGATGCCAGGTCGGCCTTCAGGGTACAGAAGTGCCGTTTGCTTCCGATTCTTACGATGTGTGCTGCCACCACAAACCCCAGGAGATGGCCGTTATGCCTTGTTCACTCCAACTCACCTCAATGGGTCCGTAGACAGCAGATGCCATCCCGAGGATGCACGTTGGACAATGCAAGCGCCGCCGCTACCTGCGAAGCCTGCGGAGCGAGCCGCCCTGCTGCGCTGGGTCGTGGCCAACTCGCGGCGTCCGACTCCACCAAGGCGCGCCGTGGATGATACGATCAAGTTGATGGCAAGATCAAGTTGTCAAGCGTGCGATGAAGCATGCACAAGACTCAGCATGACGGCAGGCCTGCAGGCTTCGGCCTCAGCGGCAACTCACGATTTCTTTCCGTACTTTTGCTTAGCTTGTCACTCCTTTACATTGCTGCAGACTACACGGGCAAAGCATATGCGCCAATTCAAGCAATGCAGGATCAAGCGAGAGTGCAAAGAGGAATAATGAAACACCCACAACTAAGCTGTGCATACTCAAGAGTCTGGCAAGCACCTGTGGAAGTGCGCGAGACTAGCGAGAGCACGCGACAGCTCCCTTCGTGGCAAGCACATTAAGATAGACATAAACCTTTTATTCCGAATCCGCTGAAGAGCCAAGGATTGCTTGACAAATCCTGCCGGCAGGCGGATGCGCGTACGCGCCGACGAGCAGACGCTTCTAGTGGAGTTTCCAGACCCGCAAAGCGGGGAAGGCACTGCTAGAAAGAGTTGGCTGCTGGTGTTCCCACTGTCTATCCCAGGCTTTGTCGCGACATGTCATGATGTTGCTTTCGCACGCCCTGTCTGGAGGGAGATACTTGCGAGCTGTGATAGCGGTTAGCGAGCGATGTGATGGCTCCGAGGCAAGTGGATGCAGTCCACCTGTGAGTTTCGACGAGGCAGGCTTCGGCGGCTGACTCAATGGGCAGCTGTGCTTCTTTGCAGGACAGGGAATTGTCTTCTTATCACTTCTCACGGCTTCGCCCCCAAGCGCATGGCAGAAGGCGTCGGCCTAAGTACTTGAAGATCTGGGGCTTCTGTGATGCTCATCTCCATCCTGGGCCGCTCTACTCGGCACTTTCAGGTCTTCAGTGACGTGATTAACTTGGAGCAAGAGTTGGCGGGTGCCGCATGCTTGGTTGTCAGCAAATACGCCGAACCAGGCAGATTTCGGCAAGCAAGGCACAGTGCTTCTCAGGCCAATGACGACAGTAGGCAAAGATCGCCAACGTGACTGGCTGCATTTACATAGATGTGTTCAATCCCTGCCGCCAGCACGTAGCACGCAGCGAATCGCTCAAGGCCTGGACGTGTCGGCACGGAAGCTGACGCCGATCCGCAACAGATCGTCTCTGCCTTCCTGTCTTCACTCACAGTGTTGGGCTCGGCGGGTTTCGATGTGTTGTTTCTTTCTGTGATGGCATCCCTATAAGTCGTCACGTGGGCAGGTCTTGCGGCCTGGCATGTTGGTGCCTGCTGAGGTCAAGGCAGGCACTTTGGAACTTCACGGCTATGCCACTCACGTCCGACGTCGAACAAACACCTGCACATGGCACGTGTAGCCACAAAGGGAGCCTTGTTCATTATCGGTCCAGCCACAGGACTGGCTAACGGACGCTGTGAAAGCATGCAACAGCACTGCAGCAGGCCGACTTCTAGCATGAGTGCGCTTGTCATGTTCCCGCTCAACATTTCGAGGCCAACCGCCGTCTTGTGTGGCACTCGTAGGCCGCGACCTAAGGCTCCTGATGTAAGAGCCTCCTGGGGCCTCGCCAATAAGATGTTTTCACACCTGGCATCCGAGGTCCTCCAGGCTGTGGCAAGACATCCATGCTGCAGTCTTTGAAACATCTGCCGTTTCAAGTCATTTCCTTGGGACGAAGCCACCAGCTGCCTACATTCAGCATCGGGTGCTTGTCTGAGGTGTTGCCGATGTCCATCCCACAGCTGATCAATGCTGGCATAGGCGACACGCAGTTGGCCGTGCGAAGGCACGAAGGTAAGGTTCTGACAGCTGAGATCGAGAGCTCCGGCTCTATGAGAGGCTCTTCGAATCGGCACAGCTGCAGCCTTCCTGCGTCACCCTGGCTGACTCCTCATGATTTCAGATCTCCTTCCTTATGCCTACAAGAAGAACCTGGGCGTCTATCGATCGCTGCCAAGGATGATGCAGACGATTTGTTCCTGCAGGCACTGCGAAACAGTAAGGTCCGACGAAGTTCGCTTTAGCTCTCGTCCGAGAGGCTTCATTTGACAACTGTAACCACGGTGTCTCTGATCTCCTTGTCGAGCTTGTCCATATGCCCCTGGCTCATCTGATGGCCTGATCGATGTGTAGTGTGGTGGAGGCACCATGGCAGCATGCCAGGCTGGACACATGCTGCTCGCGAAGACTGCTCTTCATTCTCACGCCGCATGCCAGCGATTTCAGCTGTGCTTTTCATGCACACTGGTAGGATGTTTTCGCGCCTTGCCGCAAGCATTCAGCATTTCAGGTGTTCGACACAGCGGATCCCGCCTTCCCTGGCATGTCGTCGGAACCCCGATTTCACTTTACGTCCAATTCCAGCCAGGCTTGCCATCTGTGTCACAAGGCATGCATTTCTTCAGCCTGAATGCTTGAATGCCGCTGGGCAGTTTGGATGCTTGGAGTGAGAGACTATCACACGTTCTGCACCAGCCGAGCGGGTGGTCTCAGATCTTGTGCCGGACTGGATAAAGTTTGCAGTGCGATATCAGAGCTGTAAGCAAGGGCTTACTCTAAGAATCCTTGTTTGCACCTCGATTACCTAGTACGTGCTGTGCAACAAGTGTGCAGCCTGACTTGCAGACCTCGTCTGCAGTGCTTTGCTCTCAAGATTCCAATGACTTGACCATGGGCTTCCCGTTTGTTACACGGTGATGGCTTCGCATCTCTGGCAAAGAAAGATCCTTCCAGAAAGTGACAATGGACAGACTGGAGAGTTCGGGACTTCCAAAGCCTCCAGACGGGGGCCTCCAGAAAGCCGAGCTCCACCGGCTCTTCTGGGCAAGCCCCTGAAAGCAGATGACTTCGAAAGCTGCAACAAGTGTGAAGATGATGACGATCCGCTCGACCCTTTTGGCTTGCCTTACATCCGTCCATCGCATCGCATCAGCGAAGCACAGCGCCAGCCTCAGTCAAGATTTTCTCAGATTATCAAGAGCTTTGGGAAATTCTAGTTTGAGCCTGTGGGCGTATTCTGAGGTTCCTGGCAAGAGGTCAGTTCCCATCTGCTGCTCAGCAGATTCTGCGTGATCTACGGCATGGAGCCGACTGCAGGAGACGGGCAAGTGCTCCTGCAATCACTGCAATCGCTTCCGAATTCAAGGGGCCGGCTGGGCCGGTCCAAGCCCGCAAACGAGCCACGGTTTGCGCGCACCACCTGGTCGAGATGGAGCATCCCTTTGCGGCAAATCGCCGAGAGGAGACGCTGGGTCTTGGCGCTTTTCCTATCTTTCCACTGCCGGAGACACCTCAAAATGGAGATGAGGAGCCCAAGGAGGTCCAAACCGAAAGAAGCTTGGCCAGCAAGGCCTTGGCAAAGCAATCCTCAAGGATATCGGTTGCTACATCGAGCATGCGATGGAGGCAACCGGAAAGTGCTCCAGTCTGCAGGTGAGACTTAGGCTTGCGTGCTGTGGGCTCTGTTTTTCTTGTGCTCAGGCCTGACGACCTGCACTATAATGACTGTAGTGTAGTGGGCTCGCACGTTGACTGAGGCACCCTGATAATCGTGGATTGGGACGACACTATTTTTCCTACAAGCTGGCTACAGCACAAGGACGCTCGAACAACAGCTGTAGTCCAGATGTCATTGAAATGCTGTGTTTGAATGGTTCATGTTGCAGGCAGTTGTAGAAAGCCGTCCAAGAGAATACCGTTGTCTGATCCACGCCACAGCCGCTGAGGGTTGGTTCGCACAGTGGCTTGCTTCTGGGAAGCTTGGAACCTTCATGGAACGAGACGAGCTGGCTATCCCATCGAATGATTGCGCTTTGATGGATGAGCTAGACACAGTCATGGAAGCCTTCCTCCAGTCTGCCTGTGCACTCGGACAAGTTAGTGCCACACTCGGGACCATCAGCGATCATGAATGTACTTCCTCAGATCAAGCATGCTCACACGATCTTGCGAGGGTCCTGTGAATCGATGCCTGAGGCTGTGTAACGTTGGCCCGAAGGCCGTGGCAAGAGCGAACTATGAAGGCTTTCCTTCCAAAGTTGCTCGGAGCTCAGCCAAGACTTTCGTGCCGTCGGTCAGCTAAAGAGAGCAAAGATGAACAAAGATCACCGCGCAGACACACGCTAGTGAGTAGTGGATTGTTGTGGATCACAAATCGAGCAAAGGGAATCCTGCTTCCTAGTCGAACAGAGGTCAGATGTCTGGGACAAGCACTGCATTGTCGTGCGATACGCCCGTGAGGAGAAGCTTCTTGGATGATGGCTTCCCAAGCTCTGTGTTTTGTTTTGGATGGTTGCTTAGTTGAAACAAATTCAGTTCCTATCATACTGACACTCCGGAACGGAGAACCTGAAGCTCGCGAACTCTGCAAGGCTACAGCCAAATCTTTCGTCTGAGTATAGTGCATGTAGATGCCGGACTGATCATGAGATGAGTTTTTGACGTCATGTTCGCTTGACCGACTGCAAACTGAATTGCCAGGTCGTTTTTCGGTACAATTCGTGTATGCTGAGTGACTGCTGATGTTCTCGGTTTGTAGTTGGGTTCGAGGTCTGTCCATGCAGACGACTGTGGGTTCACTCCATTGGACAAGCAAGACTATGAGATGGTGCGACAAGTGACCTTTGCAAAGAAGAAGCAGAAGGCGAGGATGCAGATTCGAGATTGCAAGGGTGTCGCGCCCGTCGCATAATCTTTCCAGACGTGTTTTAGTCTACAGGCCATGGAACGGTTGATGCGAAAGTTCTACAAGAAAGGACCAGCAAAACCGAAATCTCTTGATAACGTTGCCATGCCCACAGTATCTCCCACAACGTTGCTGTTGAGAGGAAGCTGGAAAAACGTGATCAGCCTCGGTGACGGGCCAGCAGAGCGCCAGGCACTCCAGGAGCCGCCTGGAAGCAAAGAATGCAGAAGTGCCAGAAAGAGCGCGGGAGTGACTCGACTGAGGATCGGATTCCGCCACATGAACCCAGCAAGTCCCAAAACGGGAGAGCAAAAATCCTTCAGAACGAAGTCTGCTTGAGACTTGGGGTTTCTCAAGTTTGCTTTTTCCTGCGTGTGGAGCTGGGCATAGCTGTGCAAAGCCATGCCCACGACTTGATGCAAAGGTCAAGATGCTGGAGGCCAATGGGCACGATTGTTGTTCGGGTCCTTGCAGCGTGGGCATGGGTTCGTAAAGGCCAGGACGAGCAGACAAGGCACTTGAGTCTAGAGGTATCATGAGAGGTGAGGATGCGCCGAAGTTGACCAAACCAGTGTGCGGGCATCATCGGCATTTTCGAGCTTTCGTTTTCTGTGCTCGGGAGCCGTCATGCCTGAGCCCCCCCGTAGAACTTCACGGGGTTCTCACAGCTTCAAGAAGACAGACCGACAATCGGACCAGCATGAGTCGCATTGCAATGATTACAGAAGAGTTCTTCCTTCGAAGCCCATCGGATAATACGTCATGTCGAGCTTCGTGCGGTCGAGATGCAGCGTTTTCCGGGATCTGCTGGTGGAAGGGGCGGGGGTTGGATCTTGCATGATGTTGCGACGGCGGATCAAAACCACTTCGTCGGCACAGCCCGAGTCGGCGAGGCGCGTCCGGCGAACTGTGCTTGCAGGAGCCGGCTTGCTCTGAGCTCATCGCGGAGCTTCAAATGGTGCAAGCCTGGCTGCCTGCGTTGGCATCTTTGGATGAGGACGTTGACATAGATCTCGCTGAAGGACGGGTTCTTGGCAGATCTTGGCAGTGTCGGCCCAGTGCCGCAGTCCGAGCTGCCCAGGCGAGGAAGCGCTCCTAGACATACATCAGCAACTAATGGATGTTGTGGTGGGCTTAGCTTCCTGCACGGGCCAGACCGGGGATTGGCATCGTTGTACCTCCAGCAGCAAAGTTTCCATGAAGGTTGAAAGCGGCTCCAGATCAACAAGTCCAGACAGTTCCGGCAGGACCACGACCAACTTGCAAACACTTGCTGTTCCCCCAAAAAGCTTAATTTGCTGTTGAACGCAATCAGTGCAAGTGCCGAGTCAGCCTCTTGCCAGTTGATTGCGGTGCGCTTCTATCACTGAGTGAACAGAGAAAGAAACAATGTGCACAGTTGAAGTTGCCCTGGTGGCTTCTCTTTGACTTATTGAATTGCCAATTGCATGTTCCGCTGGCTTCCAATGCCTCGCGGTCGCGGACCAGTAGGTTAGGGTGTTCTTCATATTCTGCACCCTTGCAACTGTTTAATTTTCTCCGCCAGCAGCGGAGCGGCCCTCAAACGAAGAGGGACTTTTCCAGTTTGTGAATTCGAAGAAGGAGAATCGCCGTCCGATTTTATTCTCCTGTAGGACGAGTGGGATGTCCACGCACCGACGACACGACAAGAAGTGCAGTGAGTATAATGTACATTTGCCGCAGGCAGTACCCGTGGACTTGAGCGTTTGGTGCTGATGCGGGTAACGGAGATCAAAGGGGGTCAATGCTTCGCATGCGTCTCTGCAACACTCACTTTAATAATGTACCATACCTTGCCTTGCAATAGCAAAGTCGGAGGGCAGTCGGCTGACCCATGAAGCGAACCTGAAAAGGTGCGTTAAACCCCGAAGCTGAAACCGGAACTGGAACCTTACCGCTCAGCAGCAAGCTGAGTACCACTGTGTCCTTTCCCAGGTACTCCAAAGCGACAGGGTATTTGATGGCTAAATTGCGACAAGACTACTGACACCTGCTCCAAAAGCCTTTTTTGTCGGCAGGACCGTCCGAGCATACATTTCGGTCGTATTCTTTCAGTCGTACCTTCCGCCTTGCCTCGATCTGCAGCATTCTGCTTACAGGAGTTATGCAAGCAGTAGACGCTTCATTCACATCAGATGAGGTATTTCATCTCATGTTGAGGGCATGTGCAAGATGAGAAAGGCTTTATCAGTTTGTCATGCTCCTTTCTTACCTTTGTGTCAGCACCAGGCGGCAGCAGCATCATTCCAAGTACCAGCCAGGGAGTGTGCCTTCCTCGCAGCCTTTGTGTGGAATGTGTCGCAGTCGTGAGCCACATGAAGTATGCACAGTTTGTGATGGGACCGGCCGGCTGTGGCAAGTGCTAGCCTCACAATCGGATTCATGCACTAGTAGCCTGTTAATCTCTATGCTGTCTGCATCTCTTTGCTGTCATCGGTTTGTTTATGCCAATTTGTCGTCATACCACTCGCGAGGTCCACATACTGCGCAATCGTTCAGGAGCCGGAGAGCGCTGGCCTTGCCCTACCGCAATCAAGCGGATGTGCAATGTCACAGTCTGTCTAGTGGAGCTCGACAGCACGAGGAGCACTTCAAAGTTGCACTGAAACGAACTTGCAGGCCTGTCACGGGCCATGTGTTCTGTGCTTCAGATGCCTTCTATTGCCTCCTGCTGCCGAGGGTGGTGAACTTAGACCCTGCAGCAGAAAACTTTGCTTACGACTGCTATGTTGACGTGCGCTCCAGACATTACAGGTAGATTGCGCAACAGACCCTGCGCATTTGCAAAGCATTCGGTCAGGTAGTGTATGTGGCAGGTACGTGATTTGATTTCAGTGGATGACGTCATGGAGGTGCTTCGTCTTTCTGAAGCTCTACCACAGGGTCAATTCACGGGACATGGGGCATGCGGCTTGTTGCGTTTCTCAGAGGGAGAGTGGAAGGAGCTTGACTACGGACCCAATGGCGGGCTTGTCTATGCCATGGAGTACCTGTCGGAGAACATGTCTTGGCTGGAGGCTTCCTGGGATCCTCCATGACATGCGGCAACTAGCAATCGCATGCTCAGGAGCAGGTTAGCGATGCATTAGATGATGACTACTACATCTTCGACTGTCCTGGGCTGCGGTCTCAGAGCAGTGAATCTTGTGCTGGTTGAAGAGCCGGCTCTGCAACCAAAACTTAAGCTTAGGATCTCATGCCTCTGCTGTGCCTGAGGCAGATCGAGCTGTACTCACACTTGTCAGTAATGCGGGAGGTCGTTGACATGTTGCAGAACGAGGCGCCGGGCCAGGGCTTCCCAGGCCTTGCGGGGGGAAGCTGCGACCAGTTTGGCTAGGACTTTCGAGTCGCGGGAGTTTACTGCATCGACGTCAATTTCATTGAGGCCAGGCGTGGGCGGCGAGCATGGCAGTTGCATGTCTCGCCTCGCCCCGAGGACGGTGCAAAGTTTCTTTCGGGGGTCGCGGCCTTTCTGCGTGACGCTGTGTGCTGTCCGGTGCGCTGAGGGCCTGATGGGTTGAAGGTTTGAAATGAGCATCTTCTGCAATGTTAGCACGTTTGCCCCCCCAAGGCTTTGACAGCATTAACTGCGATGATCAACCTGGAGTTGCCTTGCGCACAGCGAAGAGTCATTGCACATCAGAGAGCCTTGCGCGGAACTTCAGATGGAATCAATCGCGGAGTCTCCAATTTCAATGTTTTGTGTGCTTGGATGCGCGAAGATGCTGGAAGCGACAGTGCTGCCGAGGCCCCACATCAATGTGCTGACGAAGTGCGACCTGCTTCCGGAAGGGGCACGCGCCTTGCTATGGTGGACTCAGTATCATCGTCTTCGGCTCGTGAGGGAAGTGTCACTGCACCCACAACAAGAAATGGAGCAGCAAGCAGTCGCTGGAACTACATGCCAGGCAGATGTGGAACGCTTCATCGAAGGCGACTCCGAGGTGGGAAACCCATCAGCTTGGCCAAGCAAGGCATCGCAACCTGTGCCGATGCTTTTCTGTGGAGGCCATTTTGTCAGAGCTCCGTGGGTCCATGCATCCCAGGCCAGGTGCGGCTGTGCCGATTGATTTTTTCGGTTTGTTTCAGTTCCTCCGAGGTATCGGAAGCTCAACGAAGCCCTCGGGCAGGTGCTTGAAGAGTACTCTTTGGCATCTCGGCAGCTCGTGTTGTGCTTCGTGCCTGCTGCAACGTTATTGCTGAGGTAAGTTTCGTCGCGCTCAATCGCGACGACGAGGCTTGGGCTCCCAAATCTCCTTTGTGACGTTCTTCGGTGGGCTGCTGTGTCCGATTGTGTCCTGCAGCCCTGCGCTTCAACCAAGCATAGTACTGGCAATAGCGCTGGTGAAACTCCGGTCAGGATTCGATCGAGCTGTGCCTTGCACATATCAATCATTGCGCCTCGTCTTGAGTTCTTGCGACATTTTGGGAGTACCGGTTCGTCTCAAGCTGAGGGTTCAGGATCTAGGTTTCCTTTTTCAAGCGCACGTCCTGGATTGAGGTATCCAGTATGGAGAGAATCTGGAGCCAGAAGGCAGTCGAGCCAGCAGTGTTGCTCATTGAATTCGAACTGTGGCTCATCTGCTGGGTGTGACTTCATGTCCATGCAGGTTGATAACTTTCCTCTCATCTTCGCTGTGATCCAGTTTTGGTTTTGCAGGTGCCTTCGACATGCCTGATGACGACATGGGCTACGATGAATGAAAATCCGTTCGAGTGGTGAGAGATGTTAAGAAGATGCAAGTCTTCTTGGACTTTAATTGGGGTTGTCAGTTCTCGCTTTTCTGACATTGGCTTCAGCAAATTAGATGAGTTGCACGAACTCGACATTGAAAGTTTTTGCAACATCTCGACCCGAACAGCCCACTCAGGACGAGACCTCAAGCCATGGCTAGCGAGTAGCAAGAAGGCCAGCTTCAGTCCCACACGGTTCGGTTCGATGCTAAGCTTTTGGAAAGCATCTGACTTCAGCACAAAGGTTTCTGCCTCTGACTCTCTTTCCAATGATCTCCCTGCCATGTCGCGGGATATCGTCAGCAATGAGCATGCGACTTGTGCCGGTGCCCTTGGCCTCGTCGAAGACGAGCCAGCTTCTGGTCTGCAGATTTGGCCGGGCTTGAAAGTTTGTTTGAGGGTTGTGGGAACCCACGTTTGACGGATTCGGATTTCATGGATTTGATGGGGGTCTCCACAGTGAGTCGGAGTGTACTCCTTCCAGGTGCTACATCTTCGAGTGCGATCAGCACATCCAGGTCAGCGCGATGCAGACTGTATCAACCTCCTCGTGAGAGCCACAGTTGCGTCAATTTGCTCGGCTTCTCGAATGCGCCAGCTTGATCTGAGGTCTTGCCCTTCAACACCTGCAATATGATAAAAGCACGCTTAAAGGCCTGGGACCATTGGATGCCATTGGTAGCTGCAGATTCTGACTGGCGCATGATGTCGCGGCTCAGCCAGGAGCAGCGCCCTGGCCTAAAAGCTTGGTCCTGAGATCCCCTCTGTTGCACATGCTGCAGAAATCTTCCCTGTAAATGAACTCAGCCTGTGCTTTTTGACGAGACTTCCTTGTAAGGCTGTGCGCGACAACGATATCAGGACCGCCTTCATTTTGCATTTTTAGTGATGTGAGCACAATATTGACTTCGTAGTGCCAGGCTCCTGCACAAGGGCATCGAGCTTCGTGGGGGTTATCCCTTGGATTACTACCTTCACAGTGCAAATGCAGAGAGGTGCCTTCGGCGTTTTGACGTACTGGCTCTTGCCGCGTCATGACACCCCTGCGACAGTCCGGCTGAGCTCCAATACCTCATCATCAATCACGGGGCAGAGAAGACCAAGGCGGCGCGGGCCCCGATGCTACCCACAGCAACATTATTGTTATGCTGCATGCTTGTAGTCCGTAGCTACAGATCTGCACGTGGCTGCCACGGCCCTGCCCGCATCAAGGCACGGGACATTGGGCTGTACACGGCTCAGCAAGTCCCCACCGCACAGGAGTTACAGGACTTGGCCGCGCTCTTACAGCACTCGTGCACACACACGCACACATCCCGAGTAGAACCGTGAGACAAGATGCACTCCGCTGGAAGGTGGAGATAATCACAGATGCATTGCATGGCGGAATCAAGCCTTCGCTGACTGACGATGGAACGGGGGCGACGCGGACCTGGCATGTTTAGAAGCGACTTCTTAAGCACCTTCCAAGCAACGTCACATGTCCCAACTTCTCAAGGTACATGCTTCGTGGTGCGTCATCTCCGAAACCTCTGGCTGTGCCGGCCGCTTACAAGCTGATGCGACAGCCTGTAATGGAAAAGACCACTCAGACACGTCGAATCGTGCGATAGCACGTCTGGACTCTACAGTCGGCTGACTCCTTTTACTAGGTTATGGCTATGGTGTTTAGTGGTTTCATTTGTTGCTGCAGGTTCAAGCCCAAAGACGAGGAAGCGTTTGCCCCAAATAATCCACGGGGCTATCAGGGAAAGGACCCTTGCCCTGGCAGTTGTGATGCATGCCCATGGCAAACTGCACCGTCCTCATGGGCAGGAGAACTCTGTCGGCCTGCGGCCTGGCATCCTCTCGACGCAGCAAGCTGCCCGCGAGGTGCTGGCCGTCCCATTCCCACTCTGCCTTTGCAGCTACGACATCGCGGCTTGCCGGCAGGTTGCGGCCTATCTGCTTGACCACAAAAATTGGGCGGGAGTGCCTGCCACCACTTTGGTGCGCCATGCGGTCGAATTGCGCATTTCTGGTGTCAGTGTCCCACATGACTTAAGACTGCGAGGTACATGCCAAGCATGAGAAGTTCGTCAATCCTGACAAAAGCAAGGCTGGCTGCGAAGGGGTCATGGCGCTGTCCTTGAAGCTTTGCTCCAGAACGTGCTCGAAGTTGTGAAGCCTGAAGACGCAAATCCTGGAAATTAAATGCAGAAGCTGACGCGATCCTGGATTGGGTTCCGGCAGCTTATGTTGCAGCTCTCGCTTCTCTCCGCTGTCTCTTTCGTGACACGGTTGTAGAGCCCGCTCTCTCACAGTTGTGGGCGGAGCATGGCATAGCAATATTGCGTGCTTGAGCGTTGTAGAGACTAGGCCGACTAAGCGGCTGGAGCCAGCTGTGTGTTTAGAAGGGAGGTAAGCCTCATGGAATCGTCACATCTTTTGCCCTCCTGTCCTCGTCGCGCTTCCGTTACCACTCTTGCAAGCAACCTTATGCGAGCGTCACAGACGGAATTATCGAGTTGACGGTTAGTGCACGTGTGCACCTTGTG